TACGCCCTCTCAGCGAATCTGATATTGGCGACATTTCAGCTACTCATATATCTGATGTTGAGAACCTATTGTCACCCGAAGAGGAAAAATCTCTGAAGATTAATAATTATCTGAACCGCTTAAAGACCATTCCCGTCTTTCAAGACCAGTCTTCAGAGCCTAATACGCATGAAAGCAATGATTGGGCAGAACAGTTTCTGTTCATTAAGGATACTTGTTTTAAAGATATACTAGCTACATCGCAGTTTGTCGAGGGTCTCAAAGGAGTTATTGACGCGCACAAAGAACCTTACCTAGACGAAATGGTTACTCCTGGCGTCAAGGAAGCTGATAAGTGGTCTTTGGGAGACTTTGAAATTCGCGGTTCAAAGCTAATATCAGAGAATATTGATATTTATAAGTCTCTAAACCAATCTATGCGCGATACTATAAAGCGCTTGAAAGCTGTGGACTATACTAGTGTACAGGATGAGTTGCGTTTAGCTAGGCTTTCAGCAGCTACAGCTTCTGTTAAAGAAAGCTATGAAAACGAAGAGGAAATTGAGATTGAAGATGAGCTAGATTCTCATCAAAGGGAGACTTTGTTGAGTTTGAGAAAGTCTGTTAAATCTATCCGGGAACAGCTCTATGACCTAGAAGAATCATACTTGACGATCAAACCAGAAGTCATGGCAAGCAGTGGCATTGAATACAGCCCGACAGCTGAAAATATTATCCGTTCTATCGAGAAGATCAATAGGATTGCGAATAATAAAAGACGTGAAATTGAAGCACTGAAGAAAATGCTAACAGCGCATCGGGAATATCGCAAAGTACCTACTTCAGTCTCAAAGTTCACTCTATCCGAACTACATTCACAACCGGGAGATTTAACGAATAATTTTACCACATCAACTCCTGGAAGTGCGCGGAAGGCTAGAGCTAGCCTTATCCAGAATCTCTCGGGTCCGCGAACTGAGTTATAGGTCACCAACCGGCATATACATGTGGGCTATTTGCTTCAGGCTCTTTGCTGTATTTAGACCATCAGTAATTGTCTTCATGCAAACATATCTTAGAGTCTCAAATTGATGCTTTTATCATTGTGGCACAGTTACTTCTCTTTCTTTGATTCAGTCATTGTTTCATGAAGAACTAGACGCCTCAAGAAGTGATTTGTAGTCTCTTCACAGGGATCATCATTTCCTTTGTGTCGGAATGATTTAAGCAAATTCCATTTATTCGTTACAGATACCTCCTTCTCCATAATTTCAGCTAAATGCTTTCTTTCGGCAATAGAGGCATAAGGCAGCACCCATAAGTCTGAAGTTTTGTCATAAGTTGCATTTAGCCCGGAGTTCCAGCCCTCTCCCGGGCCTAAAATAATGCCATCGACAAGCTTCTCATCAGATTTGAAGGCACCTTCTTCTTTCTTCTTGTTGAAATAACTTGACCTCCATTCGGCAGGTGTTTGTTTTCGGGCACCGGTCCAACCAATCTGTTCCAGGTCTTCTTTGGTCACTGTCCATTTGTTTGAAGCAGGAGGGAAGATGAACTGAGGAACAAATCTGAAACTTTGTGGATTGACTATACCGATACTGAGAGCAAGATATACAGCAACGCAAATCATGCCTTGAACAATCATCATAACCCACTGTGCAAGAGGAGGTAAATAAGGCATATCAAGGAAGGCGGGTAAATAGCCGATAACAATGTTGAATATGTATGCCATGGAGCATTTAGGTGTAGGACTGATGTAGAGCGGGATATTCAAGTAAATCCAAAAAATTGATAAGAGGATAACCAGGATTTGAAATCGCCTATTTGGTTTCCAAACTGGAAGAAATAGTTGTCCATTCAAGCAAACCTCCCCAAATGTCTTAGACTCATCGATGAGATGAGCAGCGAGCTCTGGTGTGATGACGCGAGCAGTGAATAGCACATTTCCATTGGCAGTAAGATAACCAGGAGTGTCATCTAGAATAAAACCAAGTGGATCTCTGTAAAAGAATGGTGAAGGGGCGGTAATCTGTGGAATGTTATGTAGAATTTTTCTTATGAAGGAAACCCTCTCGCCCTCGGAGACACTAAAGCAGTAGTCTTTCTCGAAGTCATCATTCAAACGAACGTAGATATCCATAAGTCTTGACGAATCAGTCATATCGATAGCTATATATTCTAAATTCCGAAGCACTCAGAAGAGCTGTTAATTCGATACGAGTCTTGCAAATGCAGGACGTCAATACAAACTTTCTGTCTAAAGTTTAGCCGGTAATGTGTAGTTAGTAGGTGAGCGATGGATAATATCCGGGGTAAAATTTGTGGGGGGTGCTCATCTGGGCTCAGGGGAAATGAATCATATAGATCCAAAAAGGATGCAAATAATTAGTTAATTAAATAGATCAAGCATTTGAACTGTTCATGCGCGCTGAATTACCCGACATTCTTCAGTACCATTTGATCCTGGCATTCCAGCCGCAAAATTATAAAGGTTCAGGCCGCCTCTGCGATCAAGTACCAGTAATGTGTAACCCTTGGGTGACCATCTCATAGCTGGAGCTTCCGTGATTTTATTGGCGTTGACCGTTTTGCCGACTTGTACTACAGTGTATGAGTTGTCGACAAGTCCGAGGCGAGAATATGAGACAACGTATACCTGGCCAGAATTTGTAGCAAAGGCGATCGCATTGCCACGCGGAGACACCGCAGCTGAGTATACTGATGACCCAACTTCAGGAAACTGAGTCACCAATGTTGAATTGGCAATCGTGCCGCTATCTTCTGTAGCCCCTGAACCAACAAAGCTTCCCATAACATCGACAATAATAGGAATTGCGTCATATGCGCGACAAGTTATTGCGAGTAGCCTGTTGCCTGGAAAGAAGCGCATGGAGGTGATTCCTTCAGATTCGTTGCTGTTATCTATTTTTCGCACAGACGTCATAATAACACGAGGTTCATCAGCATTGCTAACATTTATGACCATAAATCGCGATTGCATAATTGTTGAACATGCCAAAAAGGCACCATCGTTCGAAAATGTTAATGTGTTGATAGGATCGGCAATAGGCAAAGCAGCAATAGTTGGTTCCGCAAAAGTGTTATAGTAGCTCCGTGAGTTCAGAACGTCAGGTGTTATTCTATGTAACGATATAATTGGCTCCTCTATATCGCTCACTGAGTCGTATACTGTGTAGCCACAAGCAACGCAAGACCCGTTAGGCGATACTGCTAGCGCTCTAATCGCGCTCGGCGCAACGTAGCGGTAAACAGGTCTTCCTTCACGTTGGATATTATGCACTGTGAGCACACCATTAGGGCTTGCTAGCACTGCGATATTATCGGCCAATGCAGCAATTGAGTATTCAGTAGCTGAAGCTATGGCTTCATTAGATTTTGTAGCTGTGTCTGAATGACTTGTTGGACTAGTAGCGAGAGGCACGACGTCGGTTTGATCAGATTCCTGAGGCCAATTTAAAGGTGCCTTACGCATTGTGATGGGATCTCTTCCTGTTGAATATTCACCAGTCACTTTACCAGTACATATCAACTGCGGAGGTTCGTTACTTTCTTCATCTAACTCATAGACCGACCACTTCTTATCTTCTACGAGCAAGGCACGCTTGGCGCTTGGAGACAAAGCCATTGCCGTGTAGAATTTTGATCTGATGCCTGCAATCCCTTTGCCTGAAAGAGACCATTGTATTCTTTTTCGATATTTCGGAAAACACGCATTAAACCTTTTCTCCGCTTCTTCGTCGAGCTGTTCTAATGCCACACTTTCAAGACCATAAGGTAAACTGTTGTTCCTCTTCTGTATTACGTCTTGTGTGGTCAATACCTGTAAATCTTTAGCTAAGTCATCTTCTATGGCACTCACTTTACGTGCCTCTTTATATTTTTGCGTAAAAAGTTCTATTAATGTGAAATGTTCTGCCATTACCTGGTCAGTCCAAAATGCTAGTCGATGTATAAGATCCAGGGTCCCCCCTCCCTGATGGAACATATGGGTGGGGCCACTCATATGGCTGATTCATTGTTAACATCCTCTTTTTATCACAAGTTTCATCTATGGAATTGTAATTCCCCCTCTATGCAAGTTTTTGATAATGTTGCCTTTCAAAACAGTCTCGCTGATTATTCCCTGGAGGTCTTGAGGGGTCACCCTTCCGTACCATACTGATTCGCCAGAGGGAAAGTAGTAAATCAGATTACCGGCAAACGCATGTCCTCCAACGTGCGAACACACCGCAAAATTAATCTCAGAGCTCAAATCTTCGCCGAATATTTCTTCAGATTTCTGCATAAGAGAATTAAACTCCTTTTCTATAGCTTCAGCCGCAATGCCGCACCGCTGATCTCTCGACGCATGTCCGCAGACTAGCATCAGAGGCTTATCGATTGATCTAGCTTCAAGCCTATTAAGTACCGCTAGATCTTCAGCTGGAATATCTTCACGCTGTATATTTCGACCGAAGACTCTAGCAATAGTTTCCACATCATCGATATGGAGCCTCGGTATGTATATGTTTTCCGGGTATACGTAGATCGAAGGTTCATCAATCGATCCTGCCATCTTCGCATAGGTGACCATTATTGGATACGGTTCCTCCATCAGATACTGCAGTCTCGCCGACCTAAATTGAGCCGGGAATCCGTATCTTACCGATTCAACGCGCGAAGGCCATTCATAGCTTCCAGTACCAAATACTATATGGCGGTAATGTTCCGGGGCAGTTCCAGCCAAAGGCCGGGTGGTGTCTATAGGGAGGTCCTCTGGATACTTCAGTTCACAATATGTGCATCCTGTGTCAACTTTAGGAGACGGACATGTGTCTATAAGCCTGCGAGAATGCTGAGCTAAAGTCCGGTAAAATATTCGCGCCTTCAACATACAGAAAGCTATCAGTTACTTAGCGCCGAAATTAAAGCCAAGAGGTGGTGACGTTTCCCCCTAACCCTGTTATTTAAGCCTTGGTTGTCAATGTATATACACCTGGCACTCAAAAATTTTAAATTATGACAGGCTGTCCGAGTGGTTAAGGAGTTGGACTTGAATTCTTCTTTGAGTTATCCAATGCGGTTTCCGCGCGCAGGTTCGAATCCTGCGTCTGTCGAACATTTATTTTTTTAACAAAAATTTCTTCATTTTCCTTTGATTTTTATGTTTTATTAGTCAAGCATATATAATTAGGTTTAATTTTTATGAGCGATTGCTAAATAAAATAAATTCATTTACTTAGATTATTATTCATTAGTTTGTTTTTCTCTTTTCGAACTTACAACTATGGAATCAAATGGCAATACAACTGATATTAAACGAAAGCCGGATGAATCTGATGAAGCGTCAAGGTATGTTAATTACTCGCAGAATGTGCTGCAAAAGTGATATTAACAATAGTGGAATTGGCCTTGATAAAAGAAGGAAGCTGAGTAGACCGCCAGACCCATCTATTCCAAGAGAACCCAGGCTGCCGAAGAAAAAAGTGGTAGTACTGATTGGCTATTGTGGATCTGGTTATCACGGTATACAACTCAACCCGCCCCATAAAACAATAGAGGGCGAAATCTTTCAGGCCATGGTTTCGGCTGGTGCCGTATGGTCCTTAAATGCAGATGACCCTCGCAAGCTATCGCTAATACGCGCAGCTCGCACTGACAAAGGAGTTCACGCTGCGGGCAATGTATTGAGTCTTAAGCTGGTTATCGAGGACCCAGCTATAATAGAAAAGATTAATTCATATCTTCCTGAGACTATTCGGATCTGGCATATCTCACGTATAAATAAGAGTTTTGAATGCCGAAGAATGTGTGGATCGCGAGTATATGAGTATATGTTACCCACATATTCGTTCCTATCACCAAAGCCAGGGACACATTTAGCGAAAATGATCACTTCCGATACTGGCTCTGATTGCCAAAAATACTGGGAGTCAGTGCTGGATGACTACAGAAACAACGGCCTCGTCCCAGAAGAAGTGTTCCGTGTTGAACACACTGCTTTTGATGAGAACAGCAAAGAACCAAAACCATTGTCCTCAAATGACGAGAAGATCCGAGATAAAGTCCGTGAGATAGATAGCAAACATCGGACGGCTTATAGGATTGAAAGTGATAGACTGACTAGGTTCAGAGAAATTCTGAATAAGTACTTAGGGTCTCACAACTTTTACAACTACACTGTGGGCAAAGATTTCAAGGACCCGAGTGCCATTCGACACATGAAATCTATAACAGTATCAGAACCCTTCTGTATCAACGATATGGAATGGGTTTCTGTGAAAATACACGGAGATTCGTTCATGCTTCACCAGATTCGAAAAATGATATCATTAGCTGTATTAGTGGTGCGCGTTGGGGCTCCATCAAAACTAATTGACGATTCATTCCAAAAGGTGAAAATCAATATACCTAAGGCGCCAGCACTTGGACTTTTGTTAGATCACCCGGTTTATGACGCAGGTAACGAGGTTTTAGAGAAGAATGGCTACGAGCCTATTAACTTTGACAAATATAAAGATCAAATTGATGAATTCAAGAGCAAATTCATCTACAGCAAAATATATGAAGAAGAACAAGAATACGGAACTTTTAATTCATTCTTCAGTTTTGTCGATAGGTTTTCCGCTATTAGAACCTTTCAATATTTGTATCAAGGTATCAACGAATCTACGGCCAGCGGCAACACTGAACTCGATGATGATGACTATTATGAAGAAGATTAAGATCATTATTTACATATATTGACAAATGGGTGCATATAAGAGATTCAGGTCTGAAGATATCAGTTTTGTCCCTCCATTGTTAATACATATCTGTGTATAGAAGATACTACATGGCACCCCGGTCACTAGTAACAACAATTATCAATGTCTCAAGCCCATTGATAAGAACATAGTGTTAATAACGGTTATATGTGTCTCACAGCAAATCGCCTCTTTCAATTATAATGATTATCGGCAGCATAAACTATTCATATAAGTTCTAATGGCCATTTCCCATACTACTCCACTTTGCACCGCTAGGCATAACGACCTCCCAATCGATATAATGGCACCCACAACAAAGTCGATAAAAGAGAAAACTAAAACAAGATCGAAATCAGTTAAATTAATATTAGATTCTCCTTATAAAAAGAAAGGCTGGCCAGTTGTACCAGAAGATCTTGCATTATCAATACGTACTGCAGTTCTCGATACAATCAGATCGCTACCCAAAGATCAGCTAGCAAACAGTTTTCTAATATCATTCAATTCTATAAATGCAGCTCTAGAATCGTCTTCTGATATAATAGCAGTACTTGTATGTCGATCAGATATACATCCACAGCTAATAGTTTCTCATTTACCCTTATTATGTGCCTCGCAAAAGCTTCGAAGCGATATACCAATATCCGACCCCAAACTCATAACAATGCCGAAAGGTTCTGCTGAAATGTTTCAAGCTGCTATAGGCAGAAAATGTCAAATAATTGCTGTCAGATTTAACTCCGTTTCCAGCAAGCTTATTAATATTCTGTCAAAAGTGCCCGCAATTGATATATTACAGTTACATCACGCTTCTCAGTACCAACCCCCTGATGTGTTGCGATTACCTGCTACTGGAACCAAAAAGAGAAAACAAATTATAAATCAATAAATATTGTTAGATATATATATCGCACAGGGATATGTTAATTCAATTATCATAAAGTCTTAGTTTGAAGCTAATGCTCGTCTCCTTGATAGAACATTGATTGCCCATGCTTGCCGATCAGGACGCTGAGTACCGATAGATTCTTTGATACCTTTAACCCAGGAGTCTCTGTCTTCGGGTGAACCAGCACAGAAATCAATGATCTCACCATTGCCAAACTTAATCATGAATCCACAATTCATGAAATCTTCTCTTCCAATCTTATCATAATCTCCTTTAATATGGTCGTCAGATTTTTGCATCTTCTCAATTGCATCCCATCCTTTGATCAAGCTCGTGGTATCATGAAGCTCCCGCACTGCATTCGCCAGATTAATAGTCGCTCGTGCACTTCTTGTTGACATATGATATGACCTCAAATTGTTACCCACCAGTACATAGAATTGTCTCTTCCAAGATTGGCAGTCACCGCCACGCTGCACTAATAGTCCTTCTTTTCGAACCTCATAGTGCCACGCCTCAGCTCGCAAAGCTTTAACACATCCTGCAAGACTACGAGGCAGTAACTCACTGGCACTCGTCTTCGGAATGTATAACATCTCAATTTTGAAATTTCCAATCTTGTACGGAGCCCGTCGCTTGATTGAACCACCAAGGGTTCTGGCTGTAGTTTCCCACTCATTGTATGCAGTAATGTCAAAAGTTTGCGGATTGCCAAATATTCTCTTCTCATATTGGCTCAAAGAAATATACGCTCGAGCAAACGAGCCATTGGGCGCCATGTATTGACTCATGGCATCAACGGTTTTCGTATTAGAAACTTTCGGCTGAGCTTTACCTGGTATTAACCGAGCAAATGTACTTCTGCGATTAGATGTCTTTCTATGTATTTCAGTGCCTTCAGCCTTCGGGTAAGCCCTAAGTGTCAAGATGAATTCCAATTCTTCCCCCACCACCAATTCAAACTCCTGCTGGATTACAGCGTTCTTGGATAAGGGGATATATGGAGTGGTCACACAATGAACACCGTTATCTAAAGTGACTGTAAAATTGAAATTCTGCCCTTTTAAAGGAAGTAACAGATCATTTATGCTGACAACACGGATGAATAGTCTGCCTCTGTCTTTGAATGACAGGACACTGCTCCTAGTTGTTTGATATTCGAGCATAGAACCGCTGGGCTTGCGCATACCTGCATTACTTCGGCTGGCTTTAGCATATTGGCGCATCTTATCAAGCGGAGGCAACTGAGAAGTGAGTGACGAATATGGCCGCTTTTCAGAGGAGACATGGGATCCATTTTCTAGTCCAACTATCATAGAACGTTTGGGTGACATTTTTGGTTGCACGACACGATCCGAAGATGAATGGTCTGTATTCGATCTCACCTTATTTCTTTCTTCCATGAAATGTACATCTTTTGGGGCATCCCGACCGTATGGGATCGTCGTAGGTTGTGGCGGTGCTGCGGAATTCAGCATAGGAACAGTAGGTGGCGGGTGCATTTGGCCTCCTCCTTCTGCAAGTGCGCCTGAAACATTGCGAGATGCAACAGGAGTACCTTTGACACTTCCAAAAAGAGCAACAACCATGTCTTCTGTTTCTCTCATGCGATAGCTTTTCCGGCTAGGTGCTGAAGCTTCGGGTCTTGGCGAAATCTGGTCTAACGCTTCATTCACATCAGAGAAAAAGTCCAGGTCGGAAATATCAAGATCAATATGAGGATCCTGGATATGATTAAGAACATCTCGAAGTTCTCTGAAAGAAACTGATGACTTATGCTGTACTGATTCTTTTTCAGGTGACACAGGAGTCGGGGATTCTGGATGGTCTCCACTAACCTGGCGGCGTCGTTCAGCTATAGCACTGAATTCTGAAGGTGTTAAGCTGGGAAGCGTCGGGAGCGTGGGGGCACTCACTGTTGGAATTTCTTGTAGCAAATCAACACTATCTATGTTTTCCACGCTAAACGGAAGATTTGGTTCAACTCCGTTCTTTTTGTTTTCATTTGACAGTGTCTCCTGAGAATCTAATCCTTTCCTTGTATTAGCAATAAGCTTGGTAGATATCATTTCAAGTTTCTGGGATACAGTCATCTGACTGACTTTCTCAGTTTCATTTTCCAAAATCATAGCGTGCGCTTCTGCACTAGAAATACTGTCGCGATTTTCTTGACTCATTGGCTTATCAAAGTAATCATCAAGCCCCAAGGATGACCTGCTCTCTTCCTCGTCAAATTTAAGGCGATACTGGAAAGTTTGAGAAGTTCGCTTTTCTGTTGACACGTTGAGCGGACGAGGGGTTTTCAGCTGAGATAATGAATATGAAGCCTCCTCAAGCCTTTCAGGTTCATCTTCCTCTATGATGGTGGTATCTCCAGTTTTGCCTTCTATATCTAGAGGAGTTCCAGAGTTTGTGTTTCTGAACGCATTGATTGTATTCAGACGTTGACTAGCAGATGAGTCTTCGACATTAGAAAATG